ACGCTTTCCCTATAGACCAGAGCCCCCTGGATGCCAGCCTGGTACAGCCCCTCCCGCCCCCCAAAAAAGAGGCGTCTCATTGTAACAAAGGGGGGCTTGGAGGCCTGAAACGTCCGGCAGGGCTGTGGACATCCTGCGGGATCTGAAGAGCCGTCCTCCGAGGCGTGGGGCTGTTATAAGCCCCCAATTACGCCAGCTCGCCCCAACAACTGAGACCCATTCTGTGCGGATTTCAAACGCGCCTCCTCCCCTCCTCCCTCCCGCTTGGCCTCCACACTCTTAATAAAACATTAAAAACCACTCCCCAGCGCAGCGGCCGCGGGTTCGGCGAGCTTCCCTGGAGCCCAGCCGCCTCCCTCCATCTCCGTGTCACGAGGTTTTATCCATTTGCGTTCGGGGCGTCGGCGGGTGAGGCCCGGTTTCCCGGGAAGTCCGTTATGATGTCCCCGCCTTCAAAGGGAAAGACGGGACCACCTTCCACGCCGCGCCTGCCTTTTAAACTGGAAAGATCAGTGGGCAGCCCGGCCCGCCCGGGCACAGCGTTGGACAAAGTGCTTCTCCGGGAGAAAGAAAAAACCCCTCTTTGGAGATCGTTACTCATTAGCGGGTTTGACTTTCGGGGCGACAATAAACATAATAATAGTAGCCACTATCTAGGAGCCCTCGGCCTCCTTAGCGCTTCGCTCCTCTGATTTTATTTAATCTTGTGTCTCCCGGGTGCTGGGGAGGAATCAGATGGGTTCATAAAGACAGAGCACCTGGCCCGCGCCAGCCTGGCTCAGTGGTCAGCGCGTCGGCCCACCGTGGACTGAGGGGTCCCGGGTTTGATTCCAGCCACGGGCACGTACCTGGGTTGCAGGTTCGATCCCCGGCCCCTGGCCGACACTCGGGCAGGTGGCAGCCCATTGATGTGTCTCTCACATCGATGTTTCTCTCTCTCTCTCTCTGAAAAGCAATAGAAAAAATTTCCTCGGAAACCATGACCACCCCAGTGGGGAAACCGAGGCAAGGCAGCTCCAGCCGCTTGCCCGAGGTGACGCCCACAGGGGTTGAGTCAGGCTGGGCACCGGGGCACAGCGGGGCGAGACTGTTGGGTCCTGAACCACAGGGGCACCCAGCGCCCTCCGGTGTTTCCTCCCGCATGCTGCTCCCTGTGTTTCCCCCTCTCCCTCCCGAGAGACGAAATGGAAGAAGGGACCCCGCCTGTCACCCCGAGACTGCGGCTTGGTCTTCCTGCCCTGTGTCTCGGCCTTGAAGCAGTCTCTCCGGGGGTCCTAGTTGGAAGATTGGAGCCCATTGGCCCTGCAGGGAATTTTAATTTTGCTCGGTGGCCCAAGGTTTAATTAAAGAGGCCCGGTGGGCCCGGGGGAGGGACGATGGGCGGCCACCCTCTCGACTGCCCCTTATCTCTACCTGGGTCCCATTTTGGCTCTGGGTGAGCCCACTTATGTGATGTCCTCAGTGGCTAGAGGTGGCCACCCACCCACCTGGCTGAGCTGTCCTCCGCTCCGACCATCCCCAGGCACCCACCTGTGCCCCTGGCCTCGTGCCCACAACCCCGGCGCGGCCCACAGACTGGCCGTCCCCACCTGGACTCGCAGGGACCCCGGGACACCTTCACCTGTCCTCCACCAACACGCTGCGCCCAGGCTCTCCCGCCTGTTCCCTCCTGTCTGGCCGAGTGTCACCGGCCGCCTGTGTCGGAGCCGGGCTCGTCCCTGGCTGTTCGACGCATGTCCCCCCCCAACCCCGGGTGCTGCTGCTGTAGGTCAGTGCCTCTCGCCGGCCCGGCCCACTGTTCCCACCCACGGCCAGGCCTCGGGTCACTCTGCGCGGAAGGCGGTCCTGACGCCCGCTCTCTTCCGATTTCCCTGCTTTGCCCCAGTGGCCGGTGGCTCTTTTGCTTGGAGCACATCGTGTGCCGCTAAGATGAAATGGTTTAACCTACTTTGTGAAGTCCTCAGGCTCACGGCGAGGTGGGACGTCCCGGTGGTCGGAAGCACGGGTCTGGGCCACGCTCTGGGCTCCCTGCTTGCTTCCTGCGCGGCCCTGGGCCTTCTCTGTGCCTGGGTTTACTCGTCTGTTGAATCGGGGTGAGAGCGGTGCCACGGCCGTTTGTCAGAGGACTGAGCGAATGAACACAAGTGCTTCGCTGCCACTCACTCACCAATCACGGGCTGAACCGGTGCTCCAAGATCCATTACCAGACGGCCCCCTTCCTGTCCTGACTCTTTTACTTGCTGTGTGACCATGGGAATTTATTATTATTGTTAATGCTCACCCGAGGATATTTTTTCCATTGCTTTGCNTTCTTTTACTTGCTGTGTGGCCATGGGAATTTATTATTATTATTGTTAATGCTCACCCGAGGATATTTTTTCCATTGCTTTGCAGAGAGAGTGGAAAGGAGAGAGAGAGGGAGAAACATCGATCGATGTGAGAGAGACACATTACAATGGGCTGCCTCCCACATGCACCCCAACCGGGGCTGGGAATCGAACCTGCAACCCGGGTATGTGACCTTGACCAGAAATCGAACCCACAACCCCTCAGTGCGTGGGCCGATGCTCTAACCACTGAGTCACACCGACCAGGGCTCTGTTGTTTTTTTAGGCTGTTCAAAGTTCTATTCCAAACACTGACCGATTTTCTTTCTCCTCAGAGCGACAGAAAAGGAGGGATACGTGGGTAGGTACACACACCTACACGTCTCCAGGTAGATAGGCTTTTCAGTGGAGACAATCAAGAAATAAGTTTTTATTTGTGGGTGTTTTTAAAAACCTTTCCTCTTTCGTTTTTAATGCACGAAGGGCTCCCCTGGGTTTCCCCTTAAATTACTTCACCTGCCTAGTTGGTGTTCCTCGAACTTGACCCCCGAGCGGCCAGGCTCCCCGCTCCTGTGTGCCCCAGACCCTCACATCCACATGGGGTGGCGCCCGACCCCAGTGCCCCGCTCGAGTGTTGTTGAGATGAGGGTGGTCATGGGCACCGGGCTTAATTCCTAAACACCCTTTATAAATCTTTAGGACACAGGCCGCCCGACCTCAGGCTCCTGTCCCCCTTAGGAAGCACTTAGTAAATGCTCAGAGGTCCTAAGAGCTCCCTGTCCAACGTGGGGCCTGGCATCATCAGACCCCGCGGAGAACTTGGGCGTATTTAACCCATTTCCCAGGGCTCTAGGCCTGGCCCGTGCCCTTGGGCCCTTCGGTGAGAACCTGAGTTCAGCTGCGCTTCTGACCACCTGGGCCTGGGCTGCTCCAGGTCTTCCCGGGAACACACCTGAAGGCAAACACAGGAGAGCCGGGCGCCGCGAGGCACCAGGCCGGTTCACTTTCCCCTGCTGACCATGGATACTTGGTTCCGTCCAGGCCTACAGCCTGTTCTGGAAACATCTCCCTGGCCTGAGGTCGCTGCAAAGTCAGCACACCTGGGCCGGACGCTCCGTCCAGGTACGGCCTGACCCCCGCGAGCCAACCCAGCAGGACTCACTTAACTCTCTCCCTTCTCTACAGATATTACCACAGTGTGTCCACGCTTGTACCCAAACCGGGCCCTCACGGCCAGCTGCCGAGGGGTCACAGAGCCCGAGTCCCAACCTCGCACACTTCCTGCGCATGCCTCCCCTGAAACTCGAAATTAAATGACCCTGCCCCGCTGGGCTGTGCCCATCGACCACGTGGCCGGATAGATGAGCAGTAATCTCTACGGGGAGGGGGGGCCACACTCAGGATCTGCTGGGAAAGCCGACGGAGGGAGAAAGTTTTCTCTCTCAACGCACCAGGGACTGGCAGCAAACTAAAGAACATAGTTTATTTTTAATAAAATAGAGGAGCGAAAATATCATCACATCATCTAGGTCACACAGGCGCAGGCAGGTCCGCGCTCTCCCGCGGTGGGGTGGGGGGTAAACTAGCCCTTCGCCGGGGGCTTCTAGATCGTGTCCTGACAAACATTTGGTTCACAACAAAAAAAAGAGTTCATAAGCCCTTTGGATC